GATGAGGAGGAAATGAGGAGGAGAGGAAGAGGGGAGAGAAATAAAGGAGATGAGGAGGAGAAAGGAGAAGGAGAGGAAGAGGGGAGAATTAAAGGAGGATGAAGAGGGGAAAGGAGAAGGAGAGATAGAGGGGAAAAAAAAAGGAAGACGAAGAGGAGGAAGGAGAAGTTGAGGAAGAGAAGGAGGAAGATTAGAGTAAGAGGGAGAAGGAGGGAAGGAAAAAAAATATATAATTTATCGGTGAAATCGTATTCGCTTTTCGTCTAAGAAAGGTTTGAGGAAGGAATCTGGTGAAGGTAAAGTTCTGTTCACAAGGAAGGAGAAAGTGGCTGTCAATTTTGAGGTTAAATTGATAAGATGAAGACGTAGAAGATAAGAGAAAATAAAAAAAAGGTTTACAGCAATATCAGGAAAGCGAGAAAAGGTAATAGATATAGTATAGAGTAAGATATGATCATATGGATTATTCGTAAGAGAGTACAGGCGTGCAATCTTGTTGTAGTTGTGACTGTCCAAAAATATGTTTGATTGGTTATACTTGGGCTGAGATAGGCCTACATTCACAACTTTTACAACCGCGTTATCATACAACTTGATTTGTTCTGATAAACACATCATGTCTAAACATCTTGCTTGGACATCTGAAAGTCTCACCGGGTGTGTAATTAATATAATAACATCCACTTAATTCGCACATTTGGTGATAATTTTGGTGTGACTGAACTCTCACCGCCTAGGGGGAGGGTGTGATGGGGGGGGGGGAGGAGGGGGGATTGGCTTGCAGGTTGTTTATAAGACTCACGTTTGAAATACAGTAGAGTCACATGATATTAAAACGTAGGCTGAAAAAAATACGCTTCTACCGGTACACACACGAGCTAACACGCACGCACACGCACACAGATACCGGTACACACGCACGCACACACACGCACACAGACTAACAATAATGGCCAACATTCTTTTCGCCGAGAATAACATGACACAAAAGCCATCGCCATTGGCAGCCTGTACTTCTCGTAACAATTTGCCGAATGGAATTCTCAGGATCAGCACAGGAAGTCGCTGGAGAAGAGAGATGAGAATCCTTTGGGACTGCGGTCTCTGCCTGGCTGCGAATCGCCATCTTTTGTCTATGCATGACCTTCACATTCTAAATTGATTATGCCACTTCCTGTTTTGCGCAAGGGAGCTTCCAAGTGCGCTTGTCTTCCCGCGTTCTGCTTCGGGACAGGAGTCGAATTTTCGGTTGGATTCGATGAGTTAACCTGATACTTTCTCTCTCTTTCTCTTTCTCTCTCTGTCTGTCTGTCTGTCTCTGTCTCTCTCTCTCTCTCTCTCTCTCTCTCTCTCTCTCTCTCTCTCTCTCTCTCTCTCTCTCTCTCTCTCTCTCTCTCTCTCTCTCTCTCTCTCTCTCTCTCTAAAGAGTGTCATCAGAGGGAAAAAACATTAATGTTAATGATGATTGTAGTGATGATAAATTGAAGGGATAATTTTGGTATACATAATGTCCTTAATAGTAGTATGAATATGATAATAGTTGTAGTAATGATAAAATCATCATAATGGTAACAGGTCTAGCAGCAGTAGCAACGCCAACAAGAAATAATTGAGAAGATAATGATAATGGCAACAAATTAGTATGAATCACGACCGTAGTAACAACAAAAGCAATAACAGAAACAAAGAAACAATGATGATAAAATATACATGAATCAAATCAATCGACAAAGCTAAAATGTCTTTTGAAAGCCTAATAAAGTCATGGAGAAAATGACAAGATTTCAACCTCGTATATATACATTATATGGCAAGATTCGTGTGTGTGGTTGCGTGGTTTACAGTGTCTCACGGACTTATGCCTTCTCGTCTGATATCTCTCTCTCTCTCTCTCTCTCTCTCTCTCTCTCTCTCTCTCTCTCTCTCTCCTCTCTCTCTCTCTCTCTCTCTCTCTCTCTCTCTTCTCTCTCTCTCCTCCCTCTCTCTCTCTCTCTCCCCTCCCTCTCCCCCCTCCCATCTCTCCCTATACGCATCTCTTCTTTCCATTCTCTCTCCCTCTACCCTCCTCTCCTCTCTCCTTCTCTCCTCTCTCCTCTCTCCTCTCTCCTCTCTCCTCTCTTCTCTCTCCCTATACGCACCTGTTTCCCTTCTCTCTCCCTTCCGTCATCCGTATCTTCAGCGGCAACTTAACCCGGCATCTGGCAGCCGTTAGTATATGGCTGCGAGATTTTTGCGCGGGAAAATTACTACACAGACAACTTTCTTCTATACTTGCTAACTTATTTTGGATTATTATGTTCTTAACCGCCGTCAGTGGAAGACTTAGAAATACTACAAAGTTCCTCAGATACTTTTTTTTCAAAGGGAGGGCGGCGGTCTTGTAAAAAGGAGAAAGTAACGGTAATTTTTTTTTGGTTAATCGATTATTTATCGAACGGAGAAAGATTCGAAAGAGTTGAATGCTCTAAAAATTCCCATGGTTTCTTTGTGGGTTTTGGTTATTTACAGAAAAGCAATTGTTAAATCATATGAAGTATGACAAAATAAAAATCACAATCAGTTCAAACGCCAAAACAAAATGAATCCGATGAAAGTTACACGAACGGTCGAATTCCTCCGGCTCGCGATTTCCCCCAAATATAATTCATTCTTTTGCGTGAAAAACCTCCGCCGCGTTATTTTTCGCGGGCGAGCTCGTGTGTGGGTGTAATCTGAGATGATATCTGGTTAATTGCATTTTAATGAGCATTAGTATTGATAAGAAAGGTTTATTAAAATCATTAAAATGGAGTTTCAGGTCACATCTGTTGGAAAATCTTTCCGTTTCTGTCTGCTGAGACGCATTATTCTGATAGCATTTGTTTTAGGTTACTTTTCCTCTATTATGATAGTAGCATTATCAGCTGTAGTAGTAGCAGTAGTAGTAATAGTAGTAGTAGTAGTTGGTAGTTAGTAGTAGTAGCCATAATTATAATAGTGAGGATGATAATAATGAAAATAATGATGATGATAAAAATATTGTTAATGATATTGAGAACAATGATAGAATGATAATGATAATGACAGTAATAATAATGATAATAATAAAAACAGCAATGGTAATGACAATAATAGCTATCATCATCATCATCATTGTTAATAATACCATTGTTTCTGCTCGATCTTTACTATAACCATTACCATTACGAAAAGAAATGGGGGTAATGATAATTTTTTACTTGTTTTTTTCCTTTTTATCCTCTCTCTCTCTCTCTCTCTCTCTCTCTCTCCTCTCTCTCTCTCTCTCTCTCTCTCTCTCTCTCTCTCTCTCTCTCTCTCTTGCTCTCTCTCTCCTCTCTCCTCCCTCCCCTTCCCTCCCCCTCCCTCCCTCCCTCTCCTCCCCTTCTCCCCTCTCTCCCTTCTCTTCCCCCCCTCTCTACCCCTTCTCCCCTCTCTACCCCTCTCTCCCCCTCCCCCTCTCTCTTCTGTCTCTGTCTCTCTCCCCCTTCTCCCCCTCCCCTCTCTCTCTCTCTCTCGGCGAGGCCCTGTTCTGGACGCGGGGTCTCACGGGGCGTGGAGACCAGCTGTTGTGTGTCAGTCAGGTGCCGTAACGGTCCGAGGGTTGCATTGGCTTTTGCGCATCCCTGTGGCCGAAGTTCACGTGTTGGTGCGTGTGTTTGCGTTTGTGTTTGCATGTGCTGCGGATGTGTATTGTATATGTATATATATATATATATATATATATATATATATATATATATATATATATTATATGCTATATTATAATATTATATTATATGTATGTATGTATGTATGTATGTATGCTGTATGTATGTATGTATTTATGTGTGTGTGTATGAACACACACAAATATATATATATATTATATATATATATATATATATATATATATGTATTATATATATATATAATATATATATTATATATATATATATATATATAGTTATGTGTGTGTTGTGTGTGTGTGTGTGTGTGTGTGTGTGTGTGTGTGTGTGTGTGTGTGTGTGTGTGTATGTTATTATATATATATATATATTATATATATATGTATATATATATAATATATATACATATATATACATATAATATATATATATATATATATAATATATATATATATATATATAACATATATATTACATATATATATAACATATATATATATATATATATAATATATATATATATATATATATATTATATGTGTGTGTGTGTGTGTGTGTGTGTGTGTGTGTGTGTGTGTGTGTGTGTGTGTGTGTGTGTGTGTGTTATGTATGTATATGTATATATATATACATATATGAAATTATAACGTATACATATGTATGCATACGTGCATCCATACATCCATACATACGTAGCCACATACATACATACATGCTTACATATATACATATATACTTATATACATACAAACATACATGCATATATGTATGTATGTATGTGTATGTATATATATATATATATATTATATATATATATATATATATATATATATATTGTGTGGTGTGTGCTGTGTGTGTTGTGTGTGTGTGTGTGTGTGTGTGTGTGTGTGTGTCGTGTGTGTGTGTGTGAGAGAGAGAGAGAGAGAGAGAGAGAGAGAGGAGAGAGAGAGAGAGAGAGAGAGAGAGAGAGAGAGAGAGAGAGATTGCAATAAACTTTGCAATTGTGATTTGGTTTTGTCATTATTTGAATTTAGACACAATTATTCAGTGGTTATCATCTAGTTTTCAAGGAACGCCACAAATGAATGGAGCTTTACAGCCTCAAAATATTTCTGCTCTTCTTGCATTTTGCTTTTTATCGTTACGCTTTATTCGATTTTAGGCTCTACTTATTAGTAGTAGAGGTAAAAAGATGTATTATATTATATATTATGGCATTGGTTACGGTGATGACGATGGTGGTGATGTTGGGACCTCATCACACACCGCCACCTTCATCACCATCGACCCCCCCCCCCCTCGGCCCAGCCCCCTAACCGCCTTCGTCCCTCCCGCAGAATTCGACGACGGCGGCAGCGGCACCGCAGCGACCGCAGCCCGAGCATCATCAGGTCGCCGGCAGCTGCAGTCTACGCTGTCCATGCCGCCGGCCGCGCCCCAGCCGCCGGCGCCCTCGAGGGACCGCGCGCCCGTCACGCGCACCCACTCCGAGCCCCCGCCACCCCGCCCCGCCCATGCCCTCCACCCCCTCGCCCAAGGCCTCGCCTTCGTCCTCGCATAAGACGACGGGATCCTTCGGCAGGAGGGACAGCCCCTCGCACTCCAGCGCCTCCTCCCCCGCCCAGTCGCCCCCGTCCTCCAAGCCGTCGTCGCCCAGGGCCGCCCACGACTCTCTGCGCGCCTCCGCCCACGGTGGAGAAGGGCCCAGTGATGAGGGCGTGGTGAGGCCCTCCGAGTTCATCAGGAGGAACTCCCAGAGGAGCGAGAACGGGTCCTTCAGAGGTAGGCGCACGTGGCAGCGGCCGCCCCTCAGTCGGGGGAGGGCGCTGTTGGGCGGAGTTTATTGCTCAGGACGCTGGCTTTGTTGGCAGCACCAGTGTTGGCAATCAGTTATCGGATGTTTTCCGTAATTGCAATAATGATAATATATAAAATTTATTATGATAAGGTAATCGTATCTGTTGAAAAAGAAATATATTAATTTTAATCTCATGAACATTTGTAAAATAATCATCTTTTTCTTCCAAATCAGGCCACAGGAAGCTCGATAGGCCTACGTCCCTGCCCTTGGACGTCGCCGAGCACTACGGCAGGATCCTGTCCGCTGGGAGGGACCGGGAGGCTCCTTCGGGCACGCAGGAGGACCCGGGAGTGTCGACGCAGCCCAACAAGTCCCCGGTCATGAACGGGAAGTCGCTGCCCTTCATTCCCCCGCGGTTCCCCTCGCAGCCCTCGGGCTCAGGCCTCATCAAGCCCTCGGAGTACCTGCGCTCCCTCGGGGACCCGGCCGGCAGCGGGAGCTCCAACGGCAACGGCATCTACGGCACCAACGGCCACAGCAACAGCATGCCGCACAGCAGCAGCAACAGCATCAGTCACAGCAGCAGCGCCAGCCTCAGCAGTGGCAGCGTCCGATCTCAGCACTCCTTCGTCGAAACCAGTGCCGAGCCACAGCTGGCGGAAGCCACAGTGTCGTCGTCCTCGTCGTCGCCGGCGTCGTCACCGTCATCGTCGTCGACGTCGTCGTCTCATGATTCCATAGATAGCCACAGCGGCGCCACGGTAACGCCCCCCGTGTCCATGCCCCCCGGCCCCCTCCCGGCCATCCCAGAGGCCACAGAAGAGGAAGCTCCCAAGCCCGTCTCCGTGGCCCCCCGCCTCCCCCGCCCCCCCGGGCCGCCGCCCACACGATGCCTCTCAGGAGCAACTCCAACGCCGGCAACAACAGCAACAGCAACAACAACAACAGCAACAGCAACGGCAGCAACAGCAAGACCATGCTCCCGACCATCAGCGTGACGGACCTCCAGAGCGTGCAGCTGCGGAAGACGGAGACGAAGGTGTCGAGGGCGAACAACGTGCCCCTGAAGATGCCCATGTGTAAGTCACGCCTTTCGGGTCGATCCTTCCGGGTCGGCGGTTTCACGGGGCTTTAAATCTCGCGCGTCAGTAACAAATGACGAGTAGGGTTTCACGCTTCGAAGCATTTCAGATTTTGTGCATATGTTGTGATTTGTCTCATGCTAAAATGTATGTTCGTCTAACCCATTATTGTGACCTCTTCACTATACTACCATCAACGACCTGCCCACTACCCCCTCCCTTCTATTTAATTCTTCACCTACCCCTTCTCTCCTTCCTCTTTCCTTCCCCTTCCCCTACTCCCACCCTTACCCTTACCCTTACGCTTCTTCCTCTATTCTTCCATGTCCCCTTCCCCTTTCCCTTTCCCTTTCCCTTTTCCTTTCCACTTCCCCTTCCCCTTCCCCTTCCCTTCCCCTTCCCCTTCCCCTTCCCCTTCCCCTTCCTTTCCTTTCCTTTCCTTTCCCGCATTATCAAACTTTACCAACTCTTCCCATTCCCCAAGCAGCTCCCGAGCCGGCCTTCACCTCTGCTAAGGATGACGTCATCGCCGAGCTGAAGATGGGCGTCGACATCTCGGGAATCAAGAAGATGAAGTCGGAGCGAGCCAAGGAGGAGGAGAGGAACGGAGTCATGGAGAAGGAGGAGCTCAAGCGGCAGTTCTCTGCTGTTAATTTCGTTGATCAGGTTGGAATTGCTGATGTGGTCTTAAGTAATTGAAATGTCCCTTGTGATATATATGAAAGATATTATGCAATCATTGTTATCAGTGGGTGATTGAATGAGTGAGCGCATGTGTGGTATGATTGGAGTTGTTGATAGTGAGTTAATAAGTATACGAGAGAGAGAGAGAGAGAGAGAGAGAGAGAGAGAGAGAAGAGAGAGAGAGAGAGAGAGAGAGAGAGAGAGAGAGAGAGAGAGATAGAGAGAGAGAGCGAGAGAGAGAGAGAGAGAGAGAGAGAGAGAGAAAGAGAAAGAAAGAAAGAAAGAAAGAAAGAAAGAAAGAAAGAAAGAAAGAAAGAAAGAAAGAAAGAAAGAGAAAGAAAGAAAGAAAGAAAAACCAAACAAGCCTAACCAGCCCCCTCCCCAGGTCCCGGACGTGGACAACGCCGGCAACCGCATTCCCGAGTGGAAGAGGCAGATGCTGGCCCGAAAGGCGGCCGAGCGGGCCAAGAAGGAGGCGGAGGAGCAACGCATGCAGGAGGCCGAGGAGAAGCGGCTACAGGCCATCCCGCTGTGGAAGAGGCAGCTGCTCATGAGGCGTGAGGATGAGAGCAAGCGGTAGGATGGAGTATTTTTTTTTTTAATGAGAAGAATGAGGGTTAGGGTGGTCATGATGATGGTGATTATGGTCATTGCATTAATTATAGTCTTTAGTGCTGATAGGTACCGTCGGGAACTTGATGTGTCAAATTAACCAGCACTTGCATGTCATTTTGTGGGTCATGGTTACAAAGATAACGAGAATAAAATCGTTCTGTACATATATATCAAAGTAACTGCATTAGCCATTTCGTGTTTTCGGATTCAAAGGGCAAAAGTAAGTCAAGTTTAAAGTATCGATTCATATTACTTCTGCTAATGATTGCTTAGCCTTAATCATAGGTTCTATTGCTTGTCATTTCTTAACTGCAACTGCATGTTCCAGAAAGTTTAAGAAAGTATAGAAGTTAGTCGCCTTGCTAGAAATTTTGTGCATGCTTAAGAGAATATGGGAATGTGTGGTGGTGTGTGTTAACTTTTTATTTCTGATATGATTTCCTTTGATTTTTACTGTCATCATCATCGCTGTTATTATTATTATTATTATTATTATTATCATTATTATTATTATTATTATTATTATTATTACTATTACATTGCTGTCATTTAACTTTTATTTGTGATATAATTTCCATTTATTTATTATCATTTTCATTATTATTATTATTATCATCATCATCATCATCATCATCATCATCATCATCATCATTATTATTATTATTATTATTATCATTATTATTATTATTATGATTATGATTATGATTATCATCATCATTATCATCATCATTACCATTATCATTATCATTATTTGGATATCGTTAATGGTATGAATAGTAATGATGATATTCAACGTTCTTATCATTTGCCTTTTTCTCTGTATGAGCCAACAGACAGAACCTTCATGGTATCAAATATCGTCTTTTACTCTCCCTTCAAAATTTTATTGATATCAAACTCACCAAACACATTGCACACATCTTCCCTTCGGCCAGCCAATGCATGTGACCCAGTCTGACCTGCTATTTGACATTTCTTTCGACATTTTGACCTTATATCCAGGACTTTTTTGACCCGGTATAAGTTCTAGACGTAGAATATAGCATGTGTCCTTGCAATTAATGATTAGTTATTGCGAATATCCTTGCCGTTTTGACCAGCACATAATGGCTTGTATTACCCTTACTGATTTTTGCATGGCATGTTGAGAACAAATGATTACTTGTTTTTTTTTTTTGTTTTAGTTTGGATTAATGATTATGCTGCGGATAAAGATGTGTTTGATTGTTGCATTTTCACGATGCTTTAAAAGAATGGCAGCTTCAGAATGTCAAATTGATATCAGCTTTGCATGAAATTATATTTTTTGAATATATTTACCTAATATCATAAAGCCAGAATTGTTTGAGCATGAATAAAACTAACTGGCATTAATTTCCCGCACCCACTTTGTTTCAATTCTATTAATTGTCCAAATGATATTTGTTTATTATGTATGTGCAATATGATATTTTAGTCATTTAGTTATATGTCAATTATGAGGAAAAAATATTAACCCTTATTTTGTTACTGAATTGCGATAATTATCAATCGTAATTTTCTGAATCATCAATACTAATTAAAATAGAACATATGTATTAAGAATAGTCATTCACATCAACATGACAGAGAGTAGTATAATTTTCTAAACCCAGTAAAGGTGATAATAATAGCCTGTCTGTGTTTTGACCTTACTCTGTAGTTGTCTGACCTTACCTTGTAGTTGTTTGACCTTGTGGAACCCCGTTGGTTATTTCAGCGATCGACCAATCACAGCACGCACCCAGTCACCCGTCCGCATCGCTCTACACGTCAGACACTAAGAATATAGAGTGAGTGACGGCTGTTTGGTGGAGAACAGACGCTATTTTTTATTTCATTGGCGTGGAGATTTTTTTTTTGTGAGGGATACATGTGGCTAGCGAGTGATTTGTTTTATAACTAAGTAAATGATACACAGACACACGCACACGCACACGCACACGCACACGCACACGCACACGCACACGCACACGCACACGCACACGCACGCACACACCACACACACACACACACACAACATACCACACACACGTACACGCAACACAAACACACACAATCACACCAGCCACACACACACACACACTACACACCCAAGAGCGTCATGTTCATCACCAGCACAATCTGGCACATCAGTAACGACACAACACATCACACTGACAAACAACACACACCACACAGCACCAAAAACTACACTAACTTTCTGTCTTGATTGGCATCGTTCTTCGACACTTGCCTACGTTTTATCTTAAGAACAGAGTATTATTATAAAAAACTCGAAACTACTACAATATGACAACAGACCCGACACATGCCTGATGCATGTCTTAACTATTACAAACTAACAAAGGTCTAAAATCATAATCCAATATCATTATGTGAAGGAGAAGTAGAGAAAGAAAAAGAAAAGAAGTATTAGAGAAAAAAAGACAGAATGTTTGGCATGCCAGTTAAGAGCATTTTTTCGCTTCCTCAAAAGCCCAAAAAGTCACATTGCCAAGGCTAAGCCTCATCGAGCTAAACCTACGAAAGGATTTGACCTGTTGGATATTACCATTGGGTCGACCGGTTCCTAAGACTTTGTAGCAACACTAATAAAACCTGATCTTACATTAGAAGACAGGACAGCAGCACTAGACCGCAGCGTATCATTGTGAGGGCGATGGCTAGTGTGAAACCCCTACGAGTTTACCGTCTACTCTTGGGCTTCTGTGTACAATCGTACCCTGCGCGGACCCTCGCAGGCAGCAGAGTCCCTGACGCCGAGCCTGCGCGCCCACTACCCATGGTCGTGGCCCAAAGTAGAATCGAAAAGCACAACGCCTGCTACACTCTCATTCTGCGCTTCCGACCGTCAAACCGACACTCGCCCGGACCTCACATCATGGTCTGTCATTTGTATAGCTTGTCCGGCATAACACTATGTTTGTGTTCTAGGATCTCCGCAGCTAGAAGATTTATGCCGTTCTTTTCATGATAAAGAATAAATTAACTCTGTAAATAGAAGCGCCCTTTGTGAGCTCCGTCAATCAGAATAGATGATTAGGTTCTATAAGGATCGTGAGCATTCATAAGTACTCTTCTATATATTCAGGTGTGATTCTCAGAATTCACCCCCTCTCTTTCCGCTCCCCGGAATCTCACATTAAATTTACCCCCGATTTGTATTTTATTCGATCCACAATAACTCATCACCCTTTTAATGAATGATGTTATTGAATATGATAAATTAACGATAGACGAAGAAGCGTGTATGATAAAGCTCATATTATAAAACAAGACTGTCGAAGACGTAATTTCCTTTTCTGTTATTGATGTTACATATAAAATTGAAACACATGGGACGATCTCAGCTTATGTGTTTATTTAAATAAGACAATAAGTAAAGGCAATCATAGACTAGGAAATACGTGCTAGTCAAGCCGGGGCAATTATTAGAAGAACCCCTCGCAACTGAACCTCTCCTTTCCTGACACTCATATCGTCCTCCGCGTTCCTCTCCACCAAAAATAGTAGCATCTTGAGAGGAAGAGCCTAAACGTATTTAGAAAGAAGTAGAGATGACGAATGAGAGAGGAACACGCATACCCCCCTATTCTCCACCTCCCTCGTTCGCCAGAGCTCATCACCTCTGCTTACCCTACCTCCGAAGCGTCCGACTGTCTAAGTCGATAGAAGACTTCTTCGTCCCTCTCTCTCTCCCTCTAGTTGGCCACCTCCTCCCGCCCCTTGCTGTACCCCTCATCCTCTTCTGTCTCGTGTCCTCCAAGTCATGGACCCGGTATATTGTTGTATTGAACTACTCAGCCCCAGTACTCTCCAACGCAGCAGCTAGCGGATGAATCACTAGACTCCCCGCGGAGCAAGGAGAGTCAGTCTGGACGCGTCCACTACACCTTAACTTTTAGTCACACCTCTGCCTGCTAGTCTCACTAAGATAATTATCCTTGTCATGTTAGAATGACGATGACGAATACCGCAGATTCCTTGCGGACTGAACCTAATGGAAAAACCAATTTAGTAAATTGAGCTTTGCTAGTACTAGTTCTAGATGTTGCTCGTGGTCTAAACTTATGTGTTCTTTTGCATTCTTGACATCTTTCAGCCTCTACGTTCTACTTCTCTCTTGCTCTCTTCACACTCTCCATTAACCCATAATTGCCAATGTAGTAGGATTTCGTAACACACTTCGGCGATAACTTGGTATTTTCCTTTTCTTACTATCTATATAACTATATATCATATACTATTATAAATATACTTTACTCTATTACTATTATTACTAGTATATATGTATATAGATATTCATGTCTCTTATATACTATATATAGATATAACAGATTTTAATTTCACGCCAATCTAGGCTGCATGCTTTATGTAGGATCATTTTACCTGCTCTTTATTATCTCTCGTTATTTTTACTTCTATCATTTATCCTTTATTCTGTTTTAAGTCAGCTTTTCCTTTACTGTTTCCTGATCATTAAGCTCTATGTTTTCCATATTTCTTGTAACATGTGCATCATATACAGTTCGTCGTGTGCTGCCTTCTCGTATGTAAAATAAAAACAAAAGCTGTTAATATTTTATTTCAGCTGTAATCAATATAAATATAGATATGTAGAATGCATAGAGTCTAGGGAAGTAACATTAATCTGCAATATATATCTGATACTTAGATCAATGCATGTTGACCAGAAGCATGCTAGCCATGTTATCAAGTCACAAAATCGTAGAAATTAAATCCGTATGATCTCGCAGCATCACACCATACCGAAAATTTGTCCAAAGTTAACGAAGTGCGAGCTGGTGCCTTCTCATTGGAGAAGTTGTTCGCACCGTATTTCCATTACATGTTGAAGAAAGAAGATCAGATCTATACTAGGGATTATATTAATCATTGTGAGTTAATTGTGTATGATACACGTTGGATCTTTCAAATAAAAGTCTTTATTCGTAAAGAGATTGACTGTTTTTTGCTTTATCATTTTTTTCTTTTTTTTTTTATTTGAGTTCTAGGGTTACTATGGATTCTGACATGAGTCACTCAATTCTCCAGTGGTGAGTCGCTGTTTTGTGTGCGTGTGTGTGTCAGGGTCGTAAAATGTCCTAATTGCCGAAGCCACATCTTTTGTTCGAGTAAATGCACCATTTCTTGCTCGCGATTCACTCAAACGCCTAGCGCTCTCTAACCTGATGATCGAATTATTGTAATAAGACTGATTATAATTATTAATAATCAATCAGAACTTACATAATCTTGCTGATCGACCACCGTTATTTATGGGCCGTCTGCAAAACATCATCTGCGCGCCTATCTAGTCGGAAAAAATTTGGTCAACGTTGCAATTAGCTACATTTATGGCAGTGTAGTTAGGTCGTTATCTATTATATTTTAAGAACCCTTTGGTATGGATTAGTATATGGTTTTGTGTTGTTGTTGTGTGTTTGTGGTGTGTTGTGTTGGTGTGCGTGCTGCTTATATATATATATAATGCAACACACACCACTCACCACCACATCACACACACACACACACACACACACACACACACACACACACCATAATATCGTAAGTAACTACGTGTGGGGTATGGCACCTTAACAGTGCAACTTCCATAAAACTGTATTATACGTATGATAACCGAAAGCCCAAAGTTCCCATAACTTTCTATTATATTATAACTTTCTTTCTGTGTCTTCTATTTCCTCTTCTGAGAGTTTTGTTGTATGGGGATTGGACACTGTGGTTGTGTGGGGGTGTATGACACTGTGGTCGGTTGTGTGTGTGGGGTTGTAAACGACTGGTTGTGTAGGTGATACACTTGTGTTTGTGTGTTGGATGACACTTGGTTGTGTGGGTGATGACACGGTGTTGTTGGTGTGGTTGATGACACCGTGGTGTGTGGGTAGACACCCGTGTTTTGTGGGTATGACTACTGTGGGTTGTGTAATGGTTGTACCACCTTGTGGTGGTTGTGTGTAGGTGGTGTGTGATGGACCACTGTGGTTGTGTGTGGTGTGACTACCTGTTGTGTTGGTTGTGGGTGATGGAACCGTGGTGTGTGAGTGAATACCACTATTTATGGAGGGGTGCCATAGTATGGAGATAATGGAAAGAGGTTAGGCTGTGCACTCGTGGTGAAGACATGTGGGGTATTGGTGTTACCGGGATGAGGAAAAAGTGTGGTGTAATTAGTTACGACCGGGTTGTGTAGTGGTAGGTGAGAATTGTGGTTGACCCGTGAATAAGCCCTGTAGTTTGTGACGGTCATGAGTGGACCCTCTATACTGTTTCTGGTTTCTAAATTTATTAGAAAGAGATACACCCATATTAGGTCAGTGTGGCGCATACAAAATCCCAAACAGCTTCTGATATTAATGGCTCGAAATATTCTACAATTACTTATCCAATTTAGCAGTGTACAAAAATGACGAAACTATTGGTATAAAATGACGACTGAGTAAGTAAGTGAGAATTGTACGATATATCCCACGTGTGTGTGGTGTGTGTGGTGTGTGTGTGTGTGTGGTGTGTAGTGTTGTGTGGTGTGTGCGATGATGGTGGGGTGATACACAGGATATTAATAATTCAATGTCTTCACACTATGCACTAAATATAAATAGCGAAATAGATCAAAAATGTGAAGAGCTATCTTAATTGTATTAATCAATTCATTCATCTTACACTTTCCAGACTAGTCCCCAGAGACTGAGCACAATCCAAATACTTACAAATGTAGACTGTGAGTGAGACTGAAGAATTCCATATATCAATCTAGAATACCCAGAAAAACAATTAAAAATACCCAGGAATGCATTCTTGAATCAGTGAGAGTAATTGCAGGTTGAAAACCAGTCTTTCGCTGAACAGATGTTAATGCACATCGATCTCTAATTATTTCAGAAATTTAATAATTTAATATAAACCTATCCGAGTTATAGTTATTCCAGTGCTATAAACCTTTCCAATTCCCGGGTCCCTATTCTATTTACTCAAGCGGAAAAAAGAACAAAGGGAACCCATAAACTAGGGAATAAAGTTTTGGTGGGAATAAATCAGAGTATTATCCTCGAGTATCCAAAGAGAAAAGACATTAGTATAATCGAACACAAGATATCACCAAGAGCAACGTAGAAAAATAGATGCTTGAATCTCTTAATAGTAAGTTAAGTTGCACGGTGTGTCGCAAGTACAAATACCGTAAATATTATGACCGTATGCGTTATGCTGTGAACGTGAGCGATTACTCTAGTTACATGGTAGAATCGTAATAAATCACCACTTGAGTAAAAGATTTATAACGTATAGGAATTGAGGAACTAGGATTCTTCCACCAATTACTAGAGACTGGATATCTTCACAATACAAGAGATGTATTTGACCGGTTTCGATTACGTCTTCAAATACATCTCTTGTATTGTAAAGATATCCAGTCTCATTCATACCTTTTCTACATTTGCCAATATGGGTACGTTTCAAAATAAACACATTCCTGAATACACAGTGTGAGTATTTATAGAACTCAGAATGCACATTTATGCAAACAGACTTCATCAGCAGCGCTCTCTTAAAATAATTTTATTTGTGCTAATTATAGAAAACTGTTTGGGAGTTCTTCCTGTACTTATTTGTAATTCTGTGTTCTCTCTTACAACACTTCTCTTAAATTAGAACTAATTAAAAGAATTTAGAAAATTAAACCAGAAAAAAAACAGAAAAAATGACAATCAATTTGGGTATTTGGCTAAGAAATTGACAGTATAGGCTTACATATATAGAGCCAATATAATTCGCTTTGCCTCACTCACAAATCACTGATCGCATCCGCTGACATAGTACAGTCGTTACAAAAGTAAAATAAAAAAAAAATAGAAGGAAAAGGGTTAACAGTGTGATTTCCTGGCAAACTGGGATGTGTAATTTCCGTAGACTTAATCGTCGTTGTTTTCTCCACATATACAGATAAAACAGAAAATGTTTATATGTATGGGATACTATTCTAGGTCAGTGAACCTTTTCCTTCTTGAGTGTTGTCAGTCAATTGAAATGGAAAATAAGAAATACGGTCCAACTTCTGAATCTCGGGATGAAAGGAAATTTGAGAGATAAATGATTGACGAGACAACTTTTGTTTTTTATTCAAAAAATAGTAAAACAGACAAAAGACAAGCCAACTTTTTGTCACTAAGGATTCGAACCCGTGTTGATAGGACTCGAAACGGCTTATTCGCACGATATTCTGGTGAACATTTCTTACCTATAAGCAGTTTCCATATTCTTTTTATAAGTAGGCAACTAGAAAACAAAATGCCTTCGCAATATTTTTCTCTCTGTTATTTCTCTTCAATCCCCCCACAGAGTCTAAAGTATAATTTTTCGTTATTCAATGCGGGAACGTCATGCCAGTAATTCCTGCTTATGTAACAAATATTTGGCGTGTTTTAGCAGACGAATTTAGATAGTCTGCCCCTCCTCCTGCCCTGGCCTACCCCCTCTCGGTATCAGGTGTGTCTCTTGTCACGTGACAAGACAGACACGCTCTCATGTCTGACTCTTGGGTGGTTTTCAATTGAGCCGCCAAGGAAATTCATGAGAACCGCATAAACATTATCTATGCGCAAACGAGTGTGCATTTATCCTCGTTGTCAAAATATTACTTTGCATTGTTTTTAGACGAATTTACAATGCAGTTGCCAAGTTAGCAGACGTTTCCTGCGCATGGACTTCGTCTGCTGGAAGTTCTCCAGTTTTATGCCGCGCTGTTACGTTCCAGCCTTCTTTTCTGCGTCCTGTTTTGTCGCCTGCTGTTCGATCAGACAATTCGATTGATTATCAAAAAAATGGCATCTTTCAGGCATTGATACTTTATTATTATCACTCAATCTCTCTGGGTTCGTTTGCTCTTCGTAAGGAATAAAGACCGAAATTGAAAGTTAAACGGACTTGATACTTGTTAACTAGAAGATAGTTTTCTCAAATTTTATTATTTCATTCTCCAATGCTGGTATTACTGACATTACTCATGATCAAATCAATTCGTATATCAATTGTTCCTTTCTTGCATTTTACGATACCCGCAATTAATCACAATATTTCATTTATTTATTGATGTCATCGTAGAAAAAAGATACAATTAAGAACTTACATTTTCCTGAATTAATAGATATTGAATAATAAATTTGTAACACACACACACACACACACACACACACACACACACACACACACACACACACACACACACACACACACACACACACGTGGATATATGTAACAAATTCACTACTCAGGTCATTTCAATTTCCATTTAGCACTGCTAAAGGAAAGTAATTGAGATATTCGAGATAATTCAACTTGATTTTGTCTCCTTACTGACCACTATGGTTTCTCTCTCACCACCATTGCCATCATTACCACCAAAACTACAGCTCTCACCAGTCACCACAACCCTCACCACCCACACCACAACACCCGGTCATCACAATTATCACCACACTTCCTCACCCGGTTAACACAACCTCACCACCCACACCACGATGCCACCACCACCCATTCACCCATACCATGGCACCCATCTCCCATACAACCATAGTGTCATCACCCACACAACCACGGTGTCATCACCCACACAA